TGAGAATACTGAGGAGGTAGCTTAGCACAATAGAGAAAGTGAATGTAAGAATGTAAAAGTGGCCTTTTATTTAAAGAATGTGGAGACAAGCCCACAGCCACGAAGGGCTTGGCTTTTGTTTTTTTCTGACTGACTATGGGGTTATGGCGTATATGTGACTTTTGACTGGATGTGGTGCTTGGAGGGGACGTTGACGTCATGCCAGGAGCTAATGGGAATTTTATTTAGGCCCCTGGGAAAGAAAGAGGGTGTTATAATCAAGGAGAAAAGAGGAAGTGGCCATGTGAGTAAGCATCCCTGAGTTCACCTTCTTTCACTTTGAACTACCACTATGAGGTCCTGTAATTTTTCTAGGGCAAAACTCTTTCAAGTACATACTTTGGATTGAATGAAGAAATCAAAACAAAGAATTTTTGCTATCTGTCTTCCTCCATGGCTGGAGATAAGCCATTCATACGAAATATTTTGATTCAATTCCTTAATGCATTTTCGATACCATAACCAAAATTACAGATCAGTTCACTTTCAGAAAAAGAAGAAGCAATTAAAGGCAGGGATAAAGTCCTTCAATGCAAGTATCCCTGGCAAGGTGAGTTCAACATTGTGTAATATAAACTACAACTGATTTCTCTGACTTCCAGAAAGAGAAAAGTTTATACTGATATTGCCTTAGCAAAATCAATCTCCAGGTATGCTATGTCTGATATGAGCTTTTTGTTCTGTAAAGTCAAAGACTGAATTTTAGGAACAACAGAAATTAACAGAAGAATATACTTATTGAGAGAAAGAAAGCTGCCTGAGACCGAGAAGGGGTCCTGAGCAGGTAGCCAAACACTGTCCTTTCTAGGGATCTTTATAGAGTAAAATCATGTGGTGAAATTAGTTTAAGGAGGGGAAAACTAGGAACTCACAATGCAGATGGGCATAAGATGGGACAGAGCTAAGGTAGCCAATAAGATTATAAGTTCAGGTAAAGTTGATTAAATTGGGAACAAAGTGGGAAGGCAGTCACATAGAAAGCAGGCATTCTTAGGCAGCTGTGACTTCCCTTATGGGTTTGGGAGGGTGACTACTGAGGTCATCAGGATAACAGGAACTACGTAGAATGTCAGTCTTTAACAGGATACATTCCTTTGAATGGTGACTCCTGACTTCCTCAGAGTGCTAGGGAACTATTTAGAATATCAATCCTTAGGATATGGATGAATTTGCTTATCATTTGTATTCAGACTTGGCCCATAGCATGAGGTGTCAGTAACTCAGGTGCCTATAACAGTACTGTTTGGAAAAATGATTATAGATGTCTTGTGCTCTATGGGGATGATCTGGGGATGTCAATGTGCAATGTATATACCAGTGTTGCCTACTGATTGACATGTTTTGAAATTTAATTTTAGTTGATGTGTTCTTTTTTCCTTGAAATAAAATGGATTTGAAAATTAAAAGCCTGAGGAAAAGCTCTTCAGTACGAACACTCCTCTGTCGAGCTGAGTTCACCACTGCAGAAGAATGGCAGCTCCAGAAGCCTCTGCACTACAGTCTGTCATTTTGGATCTTCTCTTGCAGGGAGGGGTTACTTTCCCTGTTTATTCTTGTCTCAGAAGGAGGGCAGTAGAGCAGGAGTCAATCAGTGATGAAGGTACAGGCTATATGAACTGTCCAATCAGGCGAGGCACTGCTGGCTGTGACTTCTGTCTCTTCTGATGTCTCATCATGATTTACCTGTTCTGAGTACAATACTGGTAGCAAAATGCTTGCTGGATCTCATTTAGTACTTTCAGTGTCCTGTGGCCTCATTAGCAAAGAATCTGAGAGATCCTGGAGCCATGGGATGGTGAGGTTGTAGATGGGAACCCAGAAATAGGGTGGATTGGGTGAAACCAGATACAAGTGTTTAGGAGTATTTCTGGTGTCTGAAGCCTCAGGTATTTAGCTAGCTTTAGCTCCCGAGGTTCTCCAGCATTGGCCATGGGTCATTCACTGTCCCTTTTGCCTCTTGCTGTTGGCAAGGGTGATTTGGGGTCCCAAGAACCCTGGCCCCACCCTGACAGCAGCAGACTGAAGTATCATCTTTGAAATTCACTGCTGGCCTGGTAACTCCACAGTCTTAGGCATTGGAAGGACCTTGGGAAGACCCTAACTATGATGCTTTCTGTAGCTTATAGAGCAGTAATGAGCTAGGTCTCTGCTCTCTTTCCTCAGAGTAGCAGATCTGGAATGTCCAAAGTTCATTAATGCCTGTAATGCAGGGCCTCATCGTCACAATGGCTCAACTTAAACTTTGGCTTTTTTGTATTTATAGTGATCTGCTAAATTTATAGTATGTTCTCATATTTCCATCCTCATGACAGGTGGTGGCAAAGGTCCTGAAAATTCAGAGATGTGTAGTAATGTGCTTCAGTAGAGGAAGGCTTTCCAAACACCTGGTGAACTCCTGTGTGTTATACAGAACAGTGCAAAATAATTTCTGAACATACTTAATTATTTATGTGGCACCCTTGCTCACAGACTAGGTTTGTGAGAACAGCCATAGAGTTTTGAAGCCTGAGAAAAATGAAGCAAATATGAAAGTGTTATCAAGGCCAGGGTAAAAATTTGTATAGGACAAATTCCAGAAAGGGCTACCTGTTAAATTCTCATCGAAAATGCTGAAATTTAGGCATTTGCATGGACATTTATACATGATATTCTACTGAATGGAAAGAATAGGGGTATCATCTCTGAATTAAGAGCTGATTTAGTAGCTTGGTTGTTCATAGACAGTTTAAATATGGAAATTCTCTTCAATGGACTTTATTAAGTGGTGTAAAGGAGAAGCCTTAAATAGAAATTTTGCAGTGATATCAGTAGTTAGGCATAAAGGGTTTTCTGCTGAGAATGGATCAGAGAAGTGTGGAAAGGATGTGCAAGTGACTGACAGGATGCAGGAATCCAATAGCAGGACATATAACAGAGAGGGTCTTCACTGAAATTCAGGTAGTTCTTAGTGTAAGTATGAAGTAAAGTTGGGTTTTGATTGCTTCCTTGAGGTGGTCAACACCAGCTTTGGCAACAATCAGCATTTCACATCCCTGTCAACCCATGAATTTTGTGTTCCATGCTTGAGATCAAATTTGGATTATCATAATTATGCCCCAGTGTCATGAAGGTAAAATTTGGATTGTTTTTGTTCCAAGGATTGAACTCATGACCTATGCTTTCCAGGCGGGTGGTGATGCCACTGAGCCAAATACCCAACTATGAAAGTATTTTCTTTGTAGTATGGAAGATATCCACATTGTTTGTCAGAAAGTGTTGAATATTGTTGGAATTTTTCTTTATTATATGGCTGTAGTTTTTAAAAACAAACCTAAGGTGTCTTATGCAGTCTCTTTTCAAGTTTCACTTTGTCTGTGGGGTGTCTCAGTCAGGGTTTCTCTATTTTAGACAGCTCTGCAACTTAGGATAACCCCAAATTCAAGGAAGAACTCCTTCACCAGCCTCCCAAGATATACTTCTTATATCTGAATGGACAGTGATCACTGGGTGACAGTGAGCTATAATTTACAGCTTGGTCCTGGTTTCATTGTTTATACATATTTTTAAAATACAGCTGTTTTCCACTAACATTTGTGTTATTATTTATGTACTATATTGGATGTTATTTATGTTTTGTTCTATGAATCCAAATTCATGTTTCAAAATGCTGCTGAAATACATTAAGAACAAAGTATTCACTGGCTTAAATGAGATTTGAGGAGACATTATCTATAGTCTATCAAAGTGATTGATGAGATTTTTTTTCTTTTTTTTTAATTTTGAAACTGGTAAAATACAACAGAACAAGGCACAATAAGGCAAACTCAGATCATACTGTGAAATTGGTACACAACTTCACAACAGGTTACTGGGATAACAGTAATAGGTATCACGTATATTTTGTTATCTTTATAATAATTGTTCTTCAATCACATATATCAAAATGAGATGAAATACAGAACATTATAGAACTTATCAAAACAGAACATTGAATAGAGCAATACCATGATTCAGAATAGAGCAAAACAGTAATAAATATATTTGCCTTCAAAGAGATAGTAGAAGGAAGTCCCCCTTATTTGTTATTTTCAACTTCCCAGAAGATGCTCAGATTTGTGATTCCCATTTGCTAACAGGGTTGGGGGTGACAGGAGAAGATGGGTAGAGGAAGTGCGATGTTTGATTCTAGCCCGTGCATCAGTAGGTTCACTATTGCTTAGTAGGAAGACTGGCTGGGCATTTGGTTTCACAGCGTCCTAAGTTCCAACATGGCGCAGATCTCAGGAGCTGTTACTGGTTCTTCCCCTGAAAGGGCTGAAGTCTCTCAGACCACCACCACTTATGAGGGAGAGGTGGTGCTTGCTTGGCTTCACAGTGTCCTAAATTCCAGCATGGCATAGATCTCAGGAGCTGCTGCTGGTTCACGCCCTGGATGGGCCACCGTCTGCCACACCGCCACCACTTACCAGGGAAGGCAGGTGCTTGCTTGGCTTCCCAGTTGATTGATGGGATATTTATCTGCTTCTGTGCTTTGTGAATGCTGGTCCTGCAGGCTTCTCACTGTGAGGGCTGCTTTAGAGACAGTATACAGGGAATCTTGCAGTGACTCAGCACAAGAATCAGTGCTCCTATTTCACTGTTACATTAGCAGTGAGTTGCAATCTAGCATCAAATTTGCTGTCTTCAAAAATGTGTATATATACAAAATTAATGACCAAGACATGGATTTAAATTTGAGGAAATCAGTCTTAATTCAGCTGTTTTGTTTGGTTTTATGTAAGTTTAGTTTTGTTTTATTGAGACAAGCTTTCTGTATGTATATCAGCTGTATTTGAACACCCTATGAAACCTAGAATTGCCCTGAACTCACCAAAGCCATCCTGTCTCAGCCTTTTGAGATTCAGATTTGTAGGCAAGAATTTAAGATATCTCAAACCTGGGAGCTCAACCTTCCTTTGAGAAATACATGTATGATCCTTTAGGAGGCAGTGACCTTTGAGGATGTGCTTGTGAACTTCAGCAATGAGGAGTGGGGTTTGCTGAGTCCATCCCAAAAGAACCTCTACAGAGATGTGATGGGCGAAACCTTTAGGAACTTGGCTGCAATAGGTAAGGATGAAATACTTTTGTTACTCATGCTGTCAGAATATTGTTTGTTGCTCATTAGTGCTGTTTCATTAAAAGAATGTGAAAATATTTTTAAAAATAGCTCAGATCTGGACCCATTATATCACAACTCTATACACAATCTATTAATTTGTATATATTATTCTAATGAGCACTGATATTTCTATGTCTACAATTCAGGAGGACTTGCGGATATCCAGGAAGCTAAAAAAGAATGCAAGATTTCCTGGAGATACTTAAGGTAATTCGCACTCACAAGAAGAAGGAATGTTCCTGAGTAATCAGTAAGCAGAAGAATGGCAGCCAAAGAAATGAGGCACCATTCAATTTAATGACAGCAATATTCTCTAAAGACGTATAAGCTAGGGTATGTATAATGAGTGAATTAAATCATGAAAACATATGACATTGCATATAGACATGTATGAAAGGCATACACTTTGAGTTATGATATTCTGCCTTCAGTTTTTCTACTCATGTATACATGCGAATACAACACATTCATTATCTAAAAATTCCTAAGATTGCAATAGAATTTGAAATAAAATGGAGTGCTCATGTTTCTAAGCCATGCTCTAGAGAATCAGCCATTCTGATTAAAATTCTTAGTAATCTGTTGGAATGTTAGTGCACTCTTTCTGAATATCAGTATGCAGTTTTCTCTAGAAATTGATCCCCTCATACTTGTCCTGGATATATTTTTAAAAACTCAAAATCTGCAAAAAATTTAGATACATGCTTACTCATATACAATGCAAATGAAGTTATAACAGATCAGGCCTTGAAGAAGCTTAGCTATCTATCACTGGATTTGTGGAGAAGGAAAATATTAATAGACTCTGTGATTGTGCATTCCTGTAAACCCAGCAAACTAGGAATCAGATTTTGCAGAATGGCAAATTCAAGATCAAACTTCACAGCTTAATGATCAGTGAAAATCTCTAAAAACAGATTTTAAAAAAGCTATAGATGTTATGCTAATACCTGTTGCTCATTCCCAGCATGGAAAAGAAAAAAGTGTGTTATATAATCTCAAAAAATAAATAGTATAATGTCATTTGCCATAAGAAATAGATGGGTCTTTCTCCCAGCAATTCAGTGAAATAGGTCAGCTATAAAACATAAAAGGTCACAGGGTTTCTTTTAGATGAGAAACCAAAATATAAAACTGTGGAATCAAATGAAAGAGAGTTGATATAGAAAAGTAAGACTGACCATATGGAAAAGGGAACTACAGGTTAAGGACAGAAGGGAGATTGTGATGGGGAAACATATCAGAATGATATGTATGTGATACACATATGTACCCATGCCCAAAGTGAAGCTAAAGATTCTGCATTTCAAAAAATACCAACTTTTAAGATTTCCAAATGTGTACCAGTCTTTTGAGAATGGTTGTTTTCAACATATCTTACAAGGCCATTCTGTTGCTTCATGATCAGAATTTCTTAGCAGCCATTAAAAACAGAACGACATTAATGCAGTCATTAAACCAAGACCCATTTCACTGTCAATTTTTCTTTTTTTTAAATTTAATGTAAGGAAAGACTAAACAAAACACAATAAATAGAAATAATACTACTTTCAAAGTGAAAATAAACAGTAAGGAATCACAAGATGATGATTATATATGGTGTTCATAAAAATAGTTAATCAAATACAAAAGTGAAACATATTAAGTGGGGATTCAAACAGCGAGACTGAAAACAGTTTTGTTCAACTCTCCAAAAAAAAGCTTAGTAATATGGTTATCAATCCTATATGTGATGTTTTTCTTTACAGAAATGACAAGCTAGGGAAGTCCTATGGACATACATCTTGGAATCAGTGTAAAGAAGTATTCCTTTGTACTGCAGAAGGTAATGTGTATGTGAAAGAAACAGAAGCACACCACAATGTTCAGATACAGAAAAAATATTGCAGTGGAGGGAAACCCTATGTATGTCAGCAATGTGGAAAAGGTTTCACCAAATCTGGACATTATAAGCAACATGAAAGAATTCACACTGGAGAGAAACCATATGTATGTAAGCAATGTGGGAAAGTTTTTAAAACACGTGCGTATTGTAAGGTTCATGTAAGATTTCACACTGGAGAGAAACCTTATGCATGTAAGCAAAGTGGGAAAGCTTTTAACACAAAGGGATATTGTAAGCAACATGAAAGAATTCACACTGGAGAGAAACCCTATGTATGTAAGCAATGTGGGAAAGCTTTTACCACCCATGGACAGTGTAAGGAACATGAAAGAATTCACACTGGAGAGAAACCATATGTATGTAAGCAATGTGGTAAAGCTTTTAATATACGGGCAGATTGTAAGAAACATGAAAGGATTCACACTGGAGAGAAACCCTATGTATGTAAGCAATGTGGGAAAGCTTTTACCACCCATGGACAGTGTAAGGAACATGAAAGAATTCACACTGGAGTGAAACCGTATGTATGTAACCAATGTGGGAAAGCTTTTAATACACGGGCAAATTGTAAGAAACATGAAAGGATTCACACTGGAGAGAAACCCTATGTATGTAAGCAATGTGGGAAAGCTTTTACCACCCATGGACAGTGTAAGGAACATGAAAGAATTCACACTGGAGAGAAACCCTATATATGTAAGCAATGTGGAAAAGGTTTTACCATCTCTGGACATTGTAAGCAACATGAAAGAATTCACACTGGAGAGAAACCCTATGTATGTAAGCAATGTGGGAAAGCTTTTACCCAACATGGACAGTGTAAGCAACATGAAAGAATTCACACTGGAGAGAAACCCTATGTATGTAAGCAATGTGGGAAAGCTTTTAACACACAGGGATATTGTAAGAAACATGAAAGAATTCACACTGGAGAGAAACCCTATGTATGTAAGCAATGTGGGAAAGCTTTTACCCAACATGGACAGTGTAAGCAACATGAAAGAATTCATACTGGAGAGAAACCCTATGTATGTAAGCAATGTGGGAAAACCTTTACCCAACATGTACATTGTAAGCAACATGAAAGTTCACACTCAAGATAAAACCAGTGTATATAAGTATCATGAGAATTTTTGAGCACACGTACATATTGCATGATGCATGAAATCTTCACACTGGACAGAAAACTTATATATGTAAGGAATGTGGGAAAGGTTTCAGCAGAAATGCTCATTGTCCAAAACATGAAAAAAATTACATTTTTGAGAAACCCTGTGTATGTGACAAATGTGGGAAAGCTTTCACCACATATGGATATTGTAAAATACATCAATGACTTTACCCTGATGAGAAACCCTATGCATATAAAAATGTGGCAAAGCTTTTACTGCATATTGAAAGAATTCACACTGGGAAGAACCACTGACTATGGAAGCAAGTAGAGACACTTTCAGCAGCCATATTGTAAGTGAAATAAGTGAAAAAACTCACACAAGCGATAAATTCTATGTGTTATGGGAACCCTCAGCACACATGATCATTGTAACATATCTGAAAGGGCTCACTGCATCCTATGTGGATTAACAATGTGAGAAATATGGCAATACATGTTTGTTGTTAAATACACAGAAAAAACATCACTCTTCAGACAGTGTAGATCTAAGTTTACTTTAAAAATCCCTAGGAGACCTGAAGAAATAATCAATAAAGAATTTTGATGTCAATATTTCTTCACAATTTTACAGAAATGACAAATCTGAGAATCTCTCCTCAAGTGTACATGTTGTATGGTTTTCAGTTAATCACTTGTACCTCTTTAGATTTTTTTAAAGTGTCTTTGTGCTTCAACATGGTATCTTGTAATTAAACATGGTAAACTAAAATGCACTTTTCAATTTCAAGTATGGATAGTGTCTATGTACTTAATATTTTGTCTTTAAATATTTTATATTTTTGCGAACTTTAATGTTGTTTATTTAAAGAGAAAAAACAGAAAAATGTATAGAAATAATACAGAATTTCAGAAAAATAATAACAAATCACTAGTTGATTTGTTACATATTGTCATCTTTGAAGTAGTTGTTCAAGTTATAAAATTAAAGCACAGAAAGTGATATTCCAATAATGACACTGTGAACAGTTCACCTCTATGATCGAACAAAAACTTATTAATATGCTTATCTGTCCTACACACTTGTATTTTTCTTAAAGAGTGTAAGATTAAACATGACAAAACAGAAGATAACAGTTCATAAGAAAACAAGTTAAGGAAACACAGATTTCAAAGCAAGTCCACTGGAGATGTTCACAGTCTATCTTACTGTCTCTAGTTTTCTTCGAAATAGTTTTTCCTATCTTCACATGCATTAAATATATACTAAACACTATAAATCTAAGCAAATAATTACAGAATGATGCAGGCTTTTTGGGTCTTCAAGACTGATTTTGAGGAAGTCGAAAATGACTATGATAATATCTCTCATTCTCTTAGTAATAGCTGTCTTTCTCTTTATGTATGCTCAAATTGAGCATAAGAGACTAGACTAATATCACTCTGAACAGTGAATAATAGCATCCTGAGAAGGAGAAAGGTGAATTGCCTAATAAAAGAAGGCAGAGGACATTGTTAAAAGTGTATCAGGATTTAAAAGCTACGGTAGTCTTATTGCTCTGTTTAGTTTGATTATATTTTGTTCTGGTCTGTCTATTCATATTAGATTTGAGCACACAGAGAGATAACCCCAAAACAGCAGGTTATACAATGGTAACTATCCGTAATTTCCTATTAACTTAAACTGAAACCCGGTATTACTGACATTGTCTTCTATGACTGATCTTCTTTGAAGCTGGTTTGTTTGAATGCTATTTGGCCTTGACTGATTTTATTCACATTTGCTTTGCTTGCTGGTATCAAGTCCAAGAGTAGAGGCAACTACTCTGAAGATGACAAGATGTAAAAGATATACACTGGGGGGCTGGGGATTTAGCTCAATGGTTTAAGCACCTTTCTGGCAAGTGTGAGGTCATTTGTTTGATCTACAGTACCAAATAAATAAATAAATAAATAAAAGATATCCATTCCAGGTTTGATTATTTTTTATATAAAGAGAAAAAATAAAGGAAATAAAAAAAACACAGCAGTAAAACTGTACACATACTACATAATTTCAAGAAAAAAATACAGTAAGAAATCACTAGTTAATAGGTTTACTTATATATCAGCTGAGCTGAGGCCAGCCCTGCTGCTGCCTTTCCCACACAGGGCCCATACTACGACCGCTGGGACTGGAAGGTGTGCATCCAGCTGAGCAGAGGCCGGCCCTGCTGCCGCCTCTCCTGCCCAGGGCCCAACTACCACCTCTGGGGACCGGAAGGTGAGCGTCCAGCAGAGAGGAGGCCAGCCCTGCTGCCGCCTCTCCCGCCGAGAATCCATACCACCACTGCTGGGGACTGGAAGGTGCACATCCAGCTGAGCAGAGGCCAGGCCTGCTGCCACCTCTCCCACCCAGAGCCCAACTACCACCTCTGGGGACCAGAAGGTGCATATCCAGCTGAGCAGAGGTGACTCCGGTCCGGCCCTGAAATTGTGCAAATTGAGGAAGCTTTAGGTCTCCCTGAGAGGAGCCTGGAAAGCCTCTTTTAATCCAGGGGCTCTGCTGCCCAAGGAGGGAGCTACTACAAAAGGAGTCCCAAGAGCCCAGGAGATAAGAGTCGATTTACAACACAACCAACACTGAACTCTGAAACAACACTTGAAACATAGTAATATAGGAAAATGACAAAGACCAAAATGCAATCTCAAACATCCAACCCATCCCCCCAAGAAAGCCTAGGAGCCATGTACATAGAAGAAAATACATGCCATATACCTGAAATACCTGAAACAATAGTAACATAATTAAAGAAGCAGCTCTGGAAGCTTTGAAGGAATTCAAACTAGAAATAATATATCAGGTAAAAGAAGAAATAATAAAAGAAATGAAGGAGATACTGAACATATCTAAACAAGACACAGCTAAACAATTGGAGGAACTAAACAAAAGGATAGAATCTCTGGATGAACAATATAAGAAACAAACAGAATATATAAAACACATGCAAAGAGATATACAGGAAATCAAAAGCAACATTGAAAGTTGTAAAAACTGCCTGAATGAATGCGAAGATAGAATTTCAGACCTAAAAGACAAGATTGCAGCCAGTGAACAGGAAAGGAAAGATCTTTTAAAAATAACAAGAAATCAAGAAATAACAATACAACACCTGCAAGATGACACAAAGAAAAACAACATCAGGTTGAAAGGGATAAATGAAAAAGGAGACAATACAAAGGATGTTAAGAGGATATTTAGAGAAGTAATTGCTGAAAACTTCCCAAACATGAAATTGGAAACTGATATCAGGATCAATGAGGCATGTAGAACTCCAAATAGCCATAACCAAAATAAAACTACACCCAGACATATAATAATCACCATTCCAGAAATTAAACAAAAGAATAGAATATTAAAAGCTGTCAGAGATAAAAGACAGATCACCTATAAAGGAAAACCTATCAGAATCACATCAGAGTTCTCAACACAAACAATAAAGGCAACAAGAGCATGGAGTGAAGTATTTCAGACCCTAAAGGAAAATGATTTCCAACCTAGACTAATCTATCCTGCAAAACGGTCCTTCAAAATTGATGGAGAAATAAGATACTTCCATGAAAAAGAACAGCTGAAGAAATTCAAGATCACCAAGCCAATCCTGCAAAGAATACTGAAAGACAGTCTAGATACACTTAAGAAAAAACCACTTAACAAAGCAGACAATTAAATAGAACAGAAAGATAAAGATGCAACAGCAGAAAGATAACATGTCACTAATAAACCAATATATAACACTTATAACCATTAACGTAAATGGGCTGAACACACTAATTAAAAGAAATAGACTGGCAGAATGGATCAAGAAACAAAATCCAACCATATGCTGTCTACAAGAAACCCATCTAACCCAAAAGGATACTCACAGACTGAAAGTCAAAGGATGGAAAACAATACTTCATGCAACAGGAACTCAAAAAAAGGGGGGTAGCTATTCTGTTTGCAGACAATGTGAACTTCAAACCAATAATGATCAGAAGAGACAAAGCAGGTTACTCCATACTGGTTCAGAGAAAACTTCAAGAGGAAGAGATAACTATCTTAAATATATATGCACTAAATTCCAAAGCACCAAGTTATATAAAACATGTAATATCAGAAATGAAAAACCAAATTGGCAGTAGTACAATTATAACAGGAGATTTTAACACACCATTGACACCAATGGACAGATCAACAGGACAGAAAATCAGCAAAGAGATAAAAGAACTGTATCACACCTGTGAACAAATGGAATTGATACACATATACAGAGTATTCCGCCCAACAACAATAGAATACACATTTTTCTCAGCAGTACATGGGTCATTCTCTAAAATAGACCATATATTAACTCATAGAACATATTTAAAGAAATGCAAAAGAGTTGAAATCATCCCATGCATGTTATCAGATCATAGCGCTATGAAATTAGTAATTAATGATAAAAGATACTGCAAAAACCCCATAAACACATGGAAACTGAATTAACACATTCTTGAGTAATCAGTGGGTCACAGAGGAAATTAAACAATACCTACAAACAAATGAAAACAAATACAACTTACTGGAATCTGTGGGACGCAATGAAAGCTGTCTTCAGAGGGAAATTTATTGCACTGCGTTCCCACATCAGGAAAACCAAACAAATACAAATAAATAACTTGATGCTACACCTCAAACAGCTAGAAAAAGAAGAGCAAGTCAAGCCCAAAGCCTAAAGAAGAGAAGACATTATAAAAATCAGAGCAGAAATTAATGCAATAGAGACTATTAAAACAATACAAAGAATCAATGAATCAAAGAGTTGGTTCTTTGAAAGAGTAAATAAAATTGATAAGCCCCTAGCCAACCTTATTTAAAAAAGGAAAGAAAAATCTCAAATTCATGCAATAAGGAATGAAAAAGGTGAAATCACTACAGATCCAATAGAAATACAGAAGATCATCAACACCTATATCAAAAACCTCTACTCTCAAAGGTTAGATAATGCAGAAGAAACAGATTTCTAGAAGAATATGAAGTACCAAAGCTAGGTCAAGAAGAAGTAAAACTGCTGAATAACCCAATTTCTATTCATGAAATTGAAAAAGTAATTAAGTCATTACCTACAAAGAAGAGCCCAGGCCCAGATGGATTCACTGCAGAATTCTATAAGAAACACAAAGAGGACCTAATGCCAACACTCCTCAAACTCTTCAATGAAATTGAAAGGGAAGCAATCCTTCCTAAGTCATTCCTGGAAGCAAATATTACTCTAGTACCAAAACCTGAGAAAGACCCAACTGAAAAAGAGAACTACAGACCAATCCCCTAATGAACACAGATTCAAAGATCCTCAATAAAATATTGGCAAACAGGATGCAGCAAGTCATCAAGAAGATTATACGCCATGACCAAGTGCGATTCATTCCAGGTATGCAGGGATGGTTCAATATATGTAAATCAATAAATATAGTCCACCATATCAATAGAGTCAAAAGTAAGAATCACATGATCATTTCTATAGATGCAGAAAAAGCTTTTGATAAGGTACAATATTCATTTATGATAAGAACCTTACAGAAAATTGGAATAGATGGTCTTTACCTCAACATACTAAAGGCCATCTATGACAAACCAACAGCCAGTATCATACTAAATGGTCAAAAATTGAAGGCCTTTACTTTAAAATCAGGCACAAGACATGGTTATCCCCTGTCACTGCTCCTATTTAATATAGTACTGGAAATACTAGCCAGAGCAATTAGACATAAAAGAAAAATAAAAGGTGTAAAGATAGGAAAAGAAGAAGTTAAATTATCACTATATGCAGATGATATGATACTCTACATAGAAGACCCCCAAAACTCCATTGAAAGACTCCTAAATATAATAAATTAAGCAATGTGGCTGGATACAAAATCAATACTCAAAAATCAATAGCATTCTTATATACTAACAACAAAATCACAGAGAGATAAATAAGAGAAGCCACACCCTTCACACTAGCAACCAAGAAAATGAAATATTTAGGAATTACTCTCAGGAAAGAAGTGAAAGACCTATACAGGGAAAATTATAATACACTGAAAAACGAAATTGAAGATGATCTCAGGAAATGGAAAGACATCCCTTGCTCAAGGATAGGAAGAATAAATATTGTGAAAACGGCCATTCTCCCAAAACTGTTATACAGATTCAATGCAATCCCGATAAAAATACCATCAACATACCTCATAGATCTCGAAAAATCAATCCTAAAATTCATCTCAAACCAGAAGAGACATAGAATAGCAAGGACAGTTCTAAGCAGCAAAGGCAAGGCAGGAGGCATCACAACCCCTGACTTGAAGTTATACTACAAAGCTACTGTAATAAAATCAACATGGTACTCGAATCAAAACAGAGCTGAAGACCAATGGAATAGATTCGAAGATACAACCACAACTACAAACACACTCAACCACCTCATCTTTGATAAAGGGGCCAAACAGGTTCACTGGAAGAATGACAGTCTCTTTAATAAATGGTGTTAGAAAAACTGGCTCTCCATATGCTGAAAACTAAAATTAGACCCATGCCTGTCACCATATACTAAAATAAAATCTAAATGGATCAAAGATCTAAATATTAAAACAGAAACACTAAATCTATTGGAAGACAAATTGGGTAAAAACCTTGAAGACATAGGGGTAGGTAGAGAATTCATGAACAAGACTCAAACCACATGGGAAATAATTCCCAGAGTCAATAACTGGGATCACATCTTATTAAAAAGTTTCTGCACATCAAAAGAAATCTGTAACATACTTAAAGAAAACCCACAAACTGGGAAAAAATCCTCGTGAACTGTCCGTCAGACAAAGGACTTCTGTCTAAAACATACAAAGAATTAATAAAAATCAGACCCCCAAATTT